TAGAAGATACTTAGTTATCGTCGACTATGATTGCAGTGTAAAATTTGTCATATGAATTGTCGACGGTATAATTAGGGTCTGTTGTTATAGATGAGAGTAGCTGTTTCTTATACGAATCACTTAAGCTTTTAACATCGGGCAGATTTCGTAGATCTGTTGGAACATTATTCCAACATTTTGCCCCCAAGTATTGAAAGTTTTTATGTGATGTTGATCTATTAACATATAGGTTGCAGCTTTCGCCGCTCCTACTACCTCCTGATATGTAACTAAATTTGTTCATAAAGTTTGTAGGACAATTGTCATGGATGATTCTAAACATATAATTTGACAGATGGAGTTGTCGTCTAAGATGGAGTGGTAACCATTTCATGTCTCTATAAACATTAAGGCTGCTCTCTGTTTGTGGAACGTTGAGAGCTATTTTGGCTACCTTTTTGTACAGAGTGTCAAGTTCAGCAAGTTTTGTCTTGCCAGCTCTACAATAGATCGTGTCTAAATAATCGAATTGTGGCAACATGAGTGCATTGGCAAACATTTTCCTATATTTAATGGGTAGCAGTGCTTTACTTCTATACATGGCACCAATTCTCTTCATGACCTTCTTAATAATATAATCTACATGGCTTTTGAAGTTTAATTTACTATCTAGAATGAGGCCAAGATATTTTGTCTCTTTGCACTCCTTGATTGTGAAAGTTACCTCATTACATTCAATGGTTAATTCATCATGTTGATCAACAGAATCAAACAATAGGAATTCAGTCTTCGTTTCATTGAGTGATAATTTATTTACACTGAGCCATTTAAAGATTGTCATAAGTTCTATTTTCATGTTTATAAATGTGCTTCTGCAGGTTTGATCAAAGAATAGTGCACCATCATCTGCAAATAGAAAGGGCTTAGATAGGTTACAGGCATAAATGATGTCATTTATGAAGATACTAAATAATATAGGCCCAATGATGCTTCCTTGTGGTACACCACTCAGAACTTCTAAAAATGAGCTTATTTTGCCATTGATCCTTGTGCATTGATATCTACAAGATAAGAAGTTCTTAAACCAGGTTAAAGCAATGCCACCAATTCCATAATATGCCAATTTTTGAAGCAATATTTCATGATTCACTGTGTCAAAGGCCTTCTTAAGATCAAGAAAGATGATTCCTGGTTTATAAGACTTAGATTTACTCATATATATTTCGTCCATCAGATCGTACATCAAATAAGTTGTGGAGTGATTTTTCCGAAAGCCATATTGATGCCGGATGAAAAGTTTGTTCTCTTCCATGTAATCGGTGAGTTGCTTGCCGACAAAGTATTCTATAAGTTTTCCTACAAGTGGAAGGATGGATATTGGCCTGTAATTATTAGGATCATCTTTCATTCCTGCCTTATGGATGGGAGTTACTCTAGCTTTTTTACAAAGGGTTGGTACAACACCTGTATTAAGGCTCAAATTGACAATATGGGTCAGTGGCTCAACTATGTGTGGTACAGCTTGCTTAAGTAAAAATAGAGGCACATCGTCATATGAGGCCTTGTCATTCTTGAGTGTTTCGACATACATTAGGATATCAGTTTCATTTATTTCTTGGAATCTATCAAATGAGATGTTAGAAGTTCTAGGAGGTAAAAAATCAGTAAAACTAACTCTTTCAATATTGGGGGCCTGATTTTGTAATCTTGATCCAACATTTGCAAAATGAAAGTTAAATAGCTCAGGATCATTCTCATTGATAGTTTGACAATTAGTTGTACCAGGGGTCATATTTGATGCCAGTTTGATAGTTTTCCATACCCCTTTAAGATCATTCTTGGCACTTTTAACTTGTAGATCATCGATTACATTAGCCTTTTTGCAGGTTTTAGCTAATTTATTTCTAATATTTCTCTGAATCTTGTAGCAATCCCAGGCCTCATTACACTTTATACATTTGCTACATATACCACATTTATTGCAATTTCCATTGTCCCTCTTATCCTTCTTTTTACGGAATTTCTTTAGAAGAAAATGTGTATGATTAATGGCATTTAAAAGTTCAGTAGAAGGTTTATGTATGAACTTTTCGTGCCTTTCTATGGTCTTGCAAGGGAAGCAGGTTGCATATGCCTGTTCAATATGATGACAAAGGCCAGCAGTGATAGCTTCAACATCTGTACTTTCCAATAGTGGACTGTAATCAGAACAGGTATCTAGATAGTCTAAGAATTGTTTAACATTACGTTTACAATGATTTCTAATTTCAACCTTTTCAAATTTAGGAGCTATAGGTACTTTACAATCTATCTCACACATAATAGCTTGATGATCCCCAATACGTTCATCAAGAACAGAAGATTGAACAAAATCTGCATAACAGTTAGTGAATATTACATCAATAGTAGTCTGGGTAAAATTGTCTCCACGTTTAGCAACTCTAGTTATCCCTTGAATGGTTTGAACTAGATTGTAACATCTCAAGGTCATATCTAATTTTTTGTACTGGGTGGATGAGATATTATTCTGGTCAATGTTTATATCCCCAATCCAGATAACCTTTTTCCCGTTCAATTTTTTCATGCAAAAATGAATGTACTCAATAAAGTTATCAACACTGCAATAATTTCCAGAGCGATAGAAGCAGCAAACATTGATCTTGCTATTCTTAAGCTTCACCCATAATGCTTCAATGTTATCAAGCTTACTATCCATAACTAATTCTGTGTAAGCTAGTTTTTTGTTTATCATTAAGCCACAACCACCCCTAGAACTGTTTGGCCTGTCGCATCGCATAATGTTGAAGGAGGAAGGAATATTTATGGTGTCTGTGTCAATAGTATCATTAAGATTCATCTCATTTAGGGAAAGTATGTCTAGCTTATGATCTCGAATGAGTTGAGTAAGTTCATTACTTTTAGCTAAATTTAGGAGACCACCTTGAATGTTACAGTGACCAATGCAAAGGTTATGAAATTTGTCAGCCGAGTTGTGAATATTTGTCATTTCACAAAACGTGTTAGTCGTTGTGTCTGATTAAACTAAAATCAGGTGAAAATTATCCGCCTGTAAATATTTTCAATAGAAAAGTTTTAAACTTGAAATCAAAATAAATATTCAGGTGGAAATGTCATGTCGATTTCAATGGTGGGCATGGTACTTGATGTGCTTTGCTAGTTTAAAGATACCATCGCTGTTTAGATGCACATTGTCTTCCCCAAATCTACTAAAACAAGATGATTTCCTAAATCCAGATCTATCACTAAACAAAAATCGATTCATCTCTGTGGGTATAAAGCTAACAAACGAGTATTTGGAAGGAATCTTAGATAAAAAGATATTGATGTCATTTATCACTTTATTTCTAGCAAAACTTTCTCTTGGTAAAATGTTTATGATCTTAATTTTTGCAGCTGGAGCCCACAAGTGAAGTGACTGGATCAGATTATCAATAGAGCGATTGGTGTTATCAAGGGCCTTTGCTTTTCCTGTGAACTCATCGGGTGACAATAATCTATTCCTCATGTGTCGAGGACTCTTTAGGATTAGGTCCACATCATTAGTTCCACACATGAGTACGATGGTCTTCACATTATTTGCATCAATTGACCTCTTTCTTTCATCTGAGTGGAAGCGTTCATTGATACCGTTTGCAATGCCACCAGGATAGTGAAATACATGTGCTTCTTGATGAGCAGAGGATAGTTTTGTAGCATCTAACTTGGAGAACATGCTTGAGCTAACATACACAGCAAGGGATTTGCTTTTGACTGAAGCAGGGGGTACGGTGCTCTTATGAGTGATTTTGTTGGGTGATGATTTCCCTTTGATTGAGGGTTCAGTTTCTCTTACAGAAACGAAAGGCTTACTTGAGGTATCGGGTGGAGCAGACAAGGTTGCACTGCCATCAATCTGGCGCAGAGTAATGCTAATTCTCATGTCATCAGTATGGTCCTGAATAAGGCTGTGTTCAAAGCTGTCCTGAGATTTTCTGGTCATAATCATTATGTCGCCATGGGAGAGAGTAAGATTGGCAACGTGGACTTTGCTTTTAGACCTAAAACTGAGGACTCTTGTTGCTCCTAACGATATGGTGGAAATCATGGAGCCTGGTGATATGGACCTCTCATCATCTGAATGGAATGGTATTCCTTGCTTGCCATTTTCATACTTGGTGATCATGGCGCTGTTAAATTTCAGACTTGGGAACTGTGAGCGTAAACGTTCTAAAATAGACTTTAATAAGGGATTGTCATTTAACGGCCTTTTGTTATGGAAGCCTCCATTGTAGGCATATGGGAAATCCCCATAGTATGCTACAGCCCTATTGTTGAACGTTTGTGTGTATTGTGTTTCCATATCCAACTTGAGAGTATCAACAAACCTGAATACACCTCGACTCAAATCATGATATGGATTGATGGACTTACCCACAACGTTAACACTGGTTGAAGATTGTTTGTTAACATCAGAAGAATTCACAAGAGATGGGTTGCTATTAAGTTCAGTCACACTGCTAACTTCACAGTTTTGAGTTTCTGATTCATGTTCAGAGATAAGAACATTGTCCCCGCAAGAGAATGGAACCGCAATTTTGTCATGGCCTGAGCCTTGGGTAAGTTTGGTTAGACGAGCAATTTGTCTCCTCAAATTGTCGTTTTCAAGACTTAGTGATACACAGGTAGAACATTTTGCTTTTGCACTGTTAGGTCTGTCACGAAGGCTGTAATTTCTGATTGGGATACCGGACATAGTTCAAATAAACACAATAATGCAAAGAATTCAGGATAGAGTCTAAAACCGATGCTACTGTTTATAGTTATTTAGTTGTTGATTACAGTACCTTTGCAGCAATTCAGAAGATGGGAATGAGTGGTGTCTGATATTCTTTAGGTGATAGATGGGTGATAGGTGATAGATGGGAGTTAACAGCTCTTAAAAACGATGTCTGATAGTCTTTAGTCTTTAGGATGTCTTTAAATAAACTATCATGCAACAACCATTTACATCGACATACAACCTCAATAAATGTAATAGATTTGTAGTGTTGTAATTAGTTTAAAACTAAAAAAAAAAAAAAATGCTTTATATCCCACACCCAAGTAACAGAAATGCAATTGATTTTAACCTGTCGACAATATTTCAGAAAAGATTCCCGCAAGCAAGCATGTTCCTTCGTTCTGCTCTGATCTCTACTCTGTTACTAACTGATGATGGACTTTGATACGATTCGTTGATATGATTTTTTGACGTATTGTATACAGCTAACACTTAACCATATGGTTCAGACAAAAGGACAATTAAACTGGTGTTTTGTTTTTAACGGGTGATACTCGTAAAATATTTGTTCCAAATATTACCTTCGACTCTAGCTTAACTCGGCACACGTCCTGGTAGGTTATAAACCTACAATTTTGTTTTAGTTTGTCTACCGCGTAACTATACTTGAACCCTTTAAGTAATAAGTTGAACTACAGGATCGATATGTTGATTGTATCGATAAAACATGGATTTTGAGGCATAAGGAAGCATTGTTGAGTTCTGAAACCAAGTTTAATCGATTTCTCGTGCGATTTTAGGTCAGGAATGGTCATCAAAATAAATTTAAAACAATGACGATATTTTGGTAAATTTCTAGCTTTCTGCCAGAAAATAAATTGTCGGTTTCTATAGGGGTTTAATTAGGTATAAACTACAGTACAGCTATACTTACACCCACATTCACATGCATTCAAGCTCACCTGGTCCAATGAGCGGGAAACGGAGAGGAAGGTCTGGTGACGTCATAGTCACGTGACCTCAGGCTCATAATCACGTGACCTCAGGCCCAATCAATTGGGTTCTGGCCTGGTCAGCCCCCTGTCACCCGATCTTGAGGTGACGTACGACACCTCGTTAACCCAATCAATGTCTGGAAGGCTGCAAATTTTCACATGCCAAATCCACAAGATTCTTAAAGAGTTGTGCGAGATGACGACACATAGAGGCCGCAGAATTATGAGGACTACCAGATCCTGGTGGAACCTAAGCGATCCATGATATCACGACAGGCCCTACAAGATGCACTATTGTGCCTATACCTGTGCCTATACTACCGTCTATCATCTATACTACCGCGACGAGCTGCGGTGAATTGACATCGTCAATTTAGACATAGGGTTAAATTCAAAATGCCCCCCTGTAGAGATATCAGCAAAAAACTGTCTCCATCACGTGATATGGCCACATAAGGAATTATTTGGTTTAATTTCTTGTTAGGGTTTCAGCATATGCTTCATGCTTCAGCTAGGGATTTTATTAGGGTAAGGGTTGGGGTCAGCGTGGAGGGTTGTAGCGCGATGCACTACTGGGTCGCGCCGCGCATCAAATAATTCTTCTCGCAATTCTTCTTCGGTAGATCGGCGAAATGCACCACTGTGCCTAGCTCACCGAGCTGCGAAGGATTGACATCGTGAATCAACGTGGAGGGTTAAAGTTTCGAATAGTCTTTCATTCAGTGTTCAGGGCCACCTGTTACCTGAGGACCCCAGGCTTTAATAGAAATTAGGCGGAATGACAGGCTGAGCGCGGCCCAGTAAGCAGTAAGGCCACCTGGTGAACGTGTCAAAAAGTTACGTAACAGTTGAGTGTATATCAAATTAAAGTGATATCAATTATCATTCAAAGTTTTTATGTACAATGTATAGGAAACTGTAAACAATTTAATCGTTGATCATTAATTAAATTCACAAGACTTTGTTTTATTTTAAACAAATGGTACCTGTAAATACTTATTAAATTGCACTAATTAGCCTGTCGTTCCGCAATATTTTTATTTGTGTTCACTATGTTTATTTGACGGATGATAGTTATTCAAATTTTTTGAATTAAAAGCAAGTCGAAGCGGCAAAGCTATTCTTTGTACTTAGCTGTTGGCGCGCGCGCGTCAGTATTTATAATTATTTATTAAGTTATACAATTTTTAAACAATGCGTTTTAGACAAAATAAAATTGGCATGGCATGATGATGCATTGTATCACGTGGTGACCCCACTGTCGCTTCACTGTATCGTCTTCGACGATACAGGGGGAGCCGCGCACTTCGTGCGCGGCGGGTCATACAACGTATGACAAATGATTCATACTCAGGAAACCTTACTGGTACGTAGGGGACTAACTTCGAAAATAAAAAAAGTTTTCAACAAAATGTACTTCGCCTTGTTGCATGTACAAATTTGTCATACGTTGTATCGTCATAGTGAAACGACCGTGGGGGTCGCAACGTGATACAAGTAAACATAACGTTTCCTCCCCAGGGGTAAATTTAAGATAATGTAGATTTAATTTTGAACTATTGCGAAAAGTTTTATTTTGGGCCTTATAAAAGTGCGCAGCTTTAACTTTGCGGATTCTTGTTCTTTGATTGGCTGAATTGTATTACGTGGTACACGTGGTGCAATTGCATTTTTGGAATGTTGGAAGCGTGCAAATCTAATGAACTAACGAGTGCGCGCGGAGTTCAACAAGCTGTGAAGACGAAATCACCTGTAGTAATATTGCCAGCCAGTAAGGACTAAGGTCTGCTGGGTATGCTTTAAATTATAATTAAAAAATTTGACCGAATATGATTCATGATTGCGCTGTAACCTTGGAGGACTATGCCGCTTCGACGCGCCTCGCGAACTATCATTCTCCAGCTGCATGCTTCGCATTGAACGATCTCGATGAGTTGCACTGTTGCAGACATTACTGGGCCGCGCTCAGCCTGTCATTCCGCTGAATCTCTATGAACATATAATAGCCTGAGGTCCCCAAGTTGCAAGTAATTGCAGACATCGTCAATTAAAGCTGTAACCATGCTTTAGCGCCGTTCGGCGGCAAATAATTAATCTTATAACTATGCCTTACCTGCATGGGGACCTCTTGTATCACGTCGTGACCCCCACGGTCGTTTCACTATGGTGTAGAGTTTCTACGATACAGGGGGAGCCGTGCACTCGTGCGCGGCGGGTCATACAACGTATGACAAGGGACCTCAGGCTATAATGTTCACAAGAGATTCGGCGGAATGACAGGCTGAGCGCAGCCCAGTAAACTATGCCATTTGCTTTCGTACCACGTGCTTGTTTAAGGAGGAGGAGGAGGAGTAGAAGGAGGAGGAAGAGGAGGAGGAGGAGGAGGAAGAGGAGGAGGAGGAGGAGGAGGAGGAGGAGGAGGAGGAGGAGGAGGAGGAGGAGGAGGAGGAGGAGGAGGAGGAGGAGGAGGAGGAGGAGGAGGAGGAGGAGGAGGAGGAGGAGGAGGAGGAGGAGGAGGAGGAGGAGGAGGAGGAGGAGGAGGAGGAGGAGGAGGAGGAGGAGGAGGAGGAGGAGGAGGAGGAGGAGGAGGAGGAGGAGGAGGAGGAGGAGGAGGAGGAGGAGGAGGAGGAGGAGGAGGAGGAGGAGGAGGAGGAGGAGGAGGAGGAGGAGGAGGAGGAGGATGAGGATGATGAGGATGATGAGGATGATGAGGATGATGAGGATGATGAGGATGAGGAGGACTAGTTACACACATTGTTTATTGCAGATATCAGTAAGTTAATTCATATTATTGATCACGTACTATTAGTATTACAATCTGACTACAGACAAAATGTTAGAAATAAAATACATTACAATTTATATCATTTGTCATTAGTGACAGTGTCACTGTCAATAATTTTATTCATTTAATACTAAATTATAAATAGAATGGGAAATTCAATACAGTCGACTACCTCATTTAAATCTTCGAATCTATAAGAAAGTGGTGTAACTTTAATGTTTAAGTAATAAGTCTGTTAAGCATGAACTGAAATCCCAAAATCCTGTTCAAAATGCAGTAGTTTATTCATTGAATAATGTAACAACAACTTAGTGTGTTATAATGGTTAAAATCAGCAATAGTGATGATGCGAAGAGTTTGCATGAAGAGGACTTGTAACTGGTAAAGGAACGGCCGTTAAGGTCCTGTGTGTCTCTCCAATTAAATGTCTTTCGGTGTCCAACTCCAAGAGATACTGCCCTCAGCTTGTTTAACTGAAAATACGGGTAAAACAGGAAGGAAAACTTAATACCACAATGTTGATCCTGAATTAAATTGGCCTTGGTAAAATGCTTTTACAATCCAAGAAAGACCATCATATCATTATAAGCTCCCATTAAATAGCAAAGAGAGACATAACTGATGTCCGGAAAGATTTTTTGAAATTGTTATCTATTTGAGAAAGTAAAAGACTATATCCTTCTAAGAGAATAATCGAGTGCTGAAACGTGACTAATATTGAGAACCTGTTCAGTTGATACAGTAAGACGCTCTGGAACGACAACCCAATGAACAATTTCAGAGCAATCGGGGGTTGTCAGGGATCCACTATACGTGATAACTTGGAGAATATCACTCGGATATAGAGCTTTCAAGTTGAAACTGCTAACTGAAAGAACAAGTACAACTATTGAGAGCTGCCAAATATTTACCTTTACGTTGGATTTACATCAGTAATCAGATCAAACTTTCTTAACGTCGACGTCCATGAAAAAAAAACGCAACTTGTACCCAGTACCGCTTTTTAAACCTTAGGATTTTGGTAATATTTTTATCTTCCTCTTAATGTCCGTAACATTGATAATATTGTCTCTTTTAAGGGTAAGTTAAAGAACTATTTGTATGATCAGCTATAGCCTGGTTAAGCTATTTTTTGTGGCTTCTAGTATTTTGTGTGTTATTTTTTGTTTTCCGAGTATCCACTTCTTGTTTTTCTGGTTTTTATCGGTGTGTCAATAAAATCAATTATGTAATATGTATACTTTAACCATTTTTTGCGACAGTTAATCTGATATTATCTCTTTAACATTATTTAGTATTTTTTGATTTATGAGACCCGTGTTTTGTTTTTAACTTTCTGCTCCGAGGAGGAGAGAAAGTTATTTTGAGGAGAGCCGCTCAGACATGGGCACCGTATTGTGTAAATTATTTAGTTATCTTTATACAATATCTTTGTCGCATAGTAGCGGGGTAGTAAATACAGTGTTTCGTTTCGTTTCGTTTCGTTGACATTACATCGCTAAAACTTACTTTTCTTGTCGTCATTGGAGTCATATTCATACTCAGATTGCGAATCTAACATTTTCTTTATTTGATCATTTTCTTTTCCCTGAAAAATATAATAAAGTACAACCTCAATGTTTCATTAAACTGTAATCGCGAACATGATGACCGATACTTGAACTCCATGTGAGATCTCCTTAATACCAACCACTTTAAAGAACCTAGCTACGACTGCCAACTTTCCATCCTCCCCATACGAGGTAACCAGATGAGCTTCCGCTGAGAATCTTTTTCCGTTCAGCAAATGTTCAGAACCCACGCTGTCGTTTTGTCCCCAATGCAGGTGAAACTGTTCGACCTAAAAGATGGGCGTTGCTTTCGTTGCCATAATATCGCTACCTACATTTGTGAAAGAAACTTCATGAGTCATATTATGGTTCTTGGCTTTCAGTGTGATACTGATAACTCACTCGGGTAAATTGTAATATATTTTAGCTTTGTCTTACCTTTCCTATAGTGTTCTCCAGTCCCGGAATTTTGTAGGTGATCACGTTTTTGAAGGTGATCTTGATTGAGTTCAGGTCGTTCATATTTTCTGCATCAGTTTTGTCAGCTTCAACTGAATTTACAAGAACCATAGTGTTTGTTAGAGGGCCACCATAAAGTTAAAATGATGTTATCAGACTTCATCAGACTCGGAAAAAACCAATCGGTCTGATAAATGGAAATTTCAAATTGCTTGATTTTTTTATAAATCTTTAAAATTTTAAAAGATATCGACCATCTCGATCTCAAAAGCATCTATGAAATCCTGTACCTGACAGTTCTATCAATTTCCCTTTTTCCATTGTGCACGCTTCAGGAGTAATAACATCGACTGGAGACTGCTTTCTAGATCCCTGCTTGTTGCAATCTCCACCCCAGCCCGCTTGATTTGCATAATCCAAGGAAGTATCTCCACTGCTGGTGACGACTTGTATAGTTGCGATCAGCAGAACCATGAACTTCAACATGTCTTTCAAGTTTACTGAGCAAAATAGATTTAATTGGTTATTGGCGATGATGAGGCATATGTGTTGTTCGATTTGTAAGTATAGAGCAGTTATATGGGGTGGCAAGTCACATCGTAGTCCGGTAGTTTCATTGCGTCCTAATATGTACAACAATGTACTTGATATTGTCTATCACAATATTGCATACGGAAGGAATTAAAAAAGCATAAGACGTCGTAACATTTATAAACTTAGTAATGCCAATTGTAAGGTATTAAAATAACTTAATCGAAGGATTTATAAAAGTGCATATAATAATAATGTATCGTATGATAACTTAACCAATAACCATCTACTGCGTAAGTTACTATTTATAATTCTACTGATAATGGCTACAGCTTATGTCACCTCTTTAAAATATGCGTGTATTTAATCTACAATATAGATAATCACTAAGGCATCAGTGTCACTTCAATATTATCGGCTATGTACTACTAAATAAAGGCAGTCACACAAAACAAATAGCAGCAAAATCAATGAGGCTATCAGTATCTCATGGTATTACATCCTAATTCCTATCATATTCGATAACCGTCCTAAGTGAATTAAATATTATTTGAAGAGCTGTTAAGGCTAAGCTGCAGTAGTCCAATTATATTCCGGAGCATTTTGGAAAAACGATTATGTAGCAGTATAATGTAACTGGGCGAAATAAAATGAATATTCTAGAAAATTAGAACAAAATACTTCCTTAATATTAATAACCACCAACCAAACTTTAAACTCGAAGAATAAAAAGTAATTTTACATATTTATCTAATTATTTAATTTAATTAACGTGTCCATATTGAAATACAGACCTACTCAACACTTAGTTTCTCAGGAAGAACCATTTCTCACGTTGATAAGTAAAACCTGGAAACTTCAAAGGTTGATATGTGCATTGTTCAAAATTTTGGTCAAGAGACATGTCACATGGACACATGGGTAACACATCATCTTGAGAAGTCCCTGTTGAAATGCAAGCATTTGACTGTCCGGCGCCGCTAGCTTCCAAGTTGCTAACCAACAAATATCTATGAAACGAAATTCGAATTTAGTGCACTAAAATGACGATATTCTCTTTCATTAAATCAGCTCGTATCATTATAAAGAAGGACTGTACGTATGACCTTATGTCGGTAAAGTTTCTAGTTTCGTAATCTGATAGAACTGCACACATTTGATCATGATCACATGTGTGCAGTTCTATCAGATTACGAAACTAGAAACTTTACCGACATAAGGTCGTACGTACAGTCCTTCTTTATAAATATAACTAGAAAACCCGTGGTCACAGGGAGGAAGCTAATAGTATTTTTTGTTAGTAAGTTTAAATTATTATCAAACTTTACACAAATCCAAAGTAGTTACTAAGAACATCCTAAAGACCTGATAAGTCTACTTAAAAGACTTGTAGAACTGAAGACTTACTTTAAATCGCGTCAAAAAATATCCTACACAACCGAAGATACAGCCAATTAAAATGTTGCTCGTACTAAACAAATGAGCGTAATATATCAACAAAACCGATCAAAATGACGTTAAAACAATCATTGCACGTGCACGTGCGTGTCATAACCCTCGTTACCATGGTTACTACGCAAGTTCATATTTTTCGTCTGATTTGCACGTGGGCGGTCGTACATACAGACAAAAAGAATTCTCTGAATTATAAGTAAGACTAGAAAACCCGCGTCAAAATATCCTACACAACCGAAGATACAGCCGATTAAAATGTTGCTCGCACTAAACACAACGTAATCACAATGCTGGCAAGCATAACCGTTGCCCTTATATTCACAACACTATGTACCCCCTATACTATTATATCCCCTTTATTGTTTTCCAGGCATTAAGACTCATCGAAAGTAGTTCAGCAGGTATATTTAAGTTCAAAACATTCTAATTCAATGTTAATGATGACAGGAATAAGAAATAGTTATGTGGAGGTTTTTAAGAAATTTGCGCAAAATACGCGCCAGCATGTTATACGAAATTAGGTAAAAAACCCAAAATCGCCATATTCAGGTGCCTTAAAAACCATGTTAAAATTGAGTTAGAGATCTGAAACTTTGCAGAGCGTCTAGACCTTGTCCAAATCGACTGTAAAAAAAATTTCATGTTGCAGGAGTATCGGGAAGTGGGTTTTCTGGAACCCCTGTTTTACAACAGATTGTCGTGAAGCTATATATGTATATATATATGTATATATGTATAGACGCTTTTGCAGTAAATTGTAGCCTACATTTAAGTGTCCGTAGATTCAAAAGTATAAAAGATACAGTCATTTCGAACCACAGGTTTTAAAGATAATTGTTTATACTTTAGTTTACATTATATCGAAAAATAATTTATCGTCATCATCATCACTTGATGACGTCATCAATTTAAGTGTTTTTAAAACTTGATTTTTGACAAAATAACAACTTTTCAAATCGATTTTAAAGTATTAAGGAGTAATTTTATTCAAAATCTGAGGACATTTTCATCTTAGATAATTGTTCAAGCATTCTGAAAATCTACCGGGAAGTTTTCCTACCTTGCTCCTTCATAAAGATATTCGCTATTGAAGTTTGTGCTTTTTTGAAGAATAATTTTATAAAAACACAAAAGTTGTGAATTAGTATTCTCTGGTGTTGGGCCATCCCTTGGGTTGTGGAGCTCAATTATTTATAGTTATAGGTTAGTTTTAAAGTTGAAAATCGAAAAGTTGCACACGTGGGGACACGCCCAAATTCATTTAAAATAGCTAAAATCACTAAAAATTGTTATTTTCACGATTTTTACCAACTTTGGAGTCCCGTTGTGATCCAAGTTCTTTTTGAAATCTTCTGAAACTTTTCATGCTTATCAAACTATATATTAAATAACACTATGCAAAAATTTATGGTGATTCAATATTTTATGCGCACGCAACGTCCGCTCAAAGTTTGCACGTGCGAAAGGTGAGAATTTTGCTCATTCGTGATTTCGAATATATTCTGCTTTCCCACGATATTAAAATGGCATTATATATGAATTTAATGCCAACTTGAATGAGTAAAAAGTGCTATATTCAGTCTGTTATTGACAGATATGCCTACCTAAACACAAGGAAACGTTTTCAAAGGTAAAATTTCGAAATCGTTGAAATTACCTCCTTATTAAGTTTCGACTGTGTAAATTATCCTGACATTATAATCAAAAAGAGATGATATTTGACCAAAACCCATAATCATGGGTAGAGTGAACCGCTGCCAGTGTCTCTCTTTTCCAAACAAAAGAAAATGATATTAATTTGAGGAACCGTCCGCAAATGCAAATTGATACCGAGAATGAAATCGGTCGCTCGCTTTTCCCATTCATTCACGGCTTACGTATTGTAATAAAGCTTATTGAATGGGAAAAGCGAGCGACCGATTTCATTCTCGGTATCAATTTGCATTTGCAGACGGTTCCTCAAATTAATATCATTTTCTTTTGTTTGGAAAAGAGAGACACTGGCAGCGGTTCACTCTACCCATGATTATGGGTTTTGGTCAAATATCATTATCAACAAAACCGATAAAAATGCCGTTTTAACAATCTTTGCACGTGCACGTGCGTGTAACAATCCTCGTGTAACAAAGTTACCATGGTTACTTTGCAACCTTTTGCTTTTTGCCGAATTTGCACGTGGGCGGTCGTACAGACAGACAAAAACAATTCTTTGAATTATAATAGAGACTAGAAAGCCCGTGGTAACAGGGATGAATCTAGTAGTTTTCTATTTCTTTGGCACTCAGTTTTTATCGCGTCAAAAAATATCCGTCACTACCAAAGATACAGCCGATTTAAATGTTGCTCGTACTAAACACAGCGCGCGTAATATCAACAAAACCGATCAAAATTACGCTAAAACCATCATTGCACGTGCACGTACGTGTAACAACTCCAGTTACCATGGTTATTATGCAACTACCTATTTCTTATCTATTTGCACGTGGGCGGTCGTACAGACAACAAAAATAATTCTTTGAATTATAGTAGAGACTAGAAAACCCGTGGTCACAGGGAGGAATCTTATAGTATTTTTTGTTAGTAATTTTAAATCGCGTCAAAAATATCCTACACAACCGAAGATACAGCCAATTAAAATGTTGCTCGTACTAAACAAATGAGCGTAATATATCAACAAAACCGATCAAAATGACGTTAAAACAATCATTGCACGTGCACGTGCGTGTCATAACCCTCGTTACCATGGTTACTACGCAAGTTCATATTTTTCGTCTGATTTGCACGTGGGCGGTCGTACATACAGACAAAAAGAATTCTCTGAATTATAAGTAAGACTAGAAAACCCGCGTCAAAATATCCTACACAACCGAAGATACAGCCGATTAAAATGTTGCTCGCACTAAACACAACGTAATATCATTATCAACAAAACCGATAAAAATGCCGTTTTAACAATCTTTGCACGTGCACGTGCGTGTAACAATCCTCGTGTAACAAAGTTACCATGGTTACTTTGCAACCTTTTGCTTTTTGCCGAATTTGCACGTGGGCGGTCGTACAGACAGACAAAAACAATTCTTTGAATTATAATAGAGACTAGAAAGCCCGTGGTAACAGGGATGAATCTAGTAGTTTTCTATTTCTTTGGCACTCAGTTTTTATCGCGTCAAAAAATATCCGTCACTACCAAAGATACAGCCGATTTAAATGTTGCTCGTACTAAACACAGCGCGCGTAATATCAACAAAACCGATCAAAATTACGCTAAAACCATCATTGCACGTGCACGTACGTGTAACAACTCCAGTTACCATGGTTATTATGCAACTACCTATTTCTTATCTATTTGCACGTGGGCGGTCGTACAGACAACAAAAATAATTCTTTGAATTATAGTAGAGACTAGAAAACCCGTGGTCACAGGGAGGAATCTTATAGTATTTTTTGTTAGTAATTTTAAATCGCGTCAAAAATATCCTACACAACCGAAGATACAGCCGATTAAAATGT